TTTCTTTCTTTCTTTCTTTCTTTCTTTCTTTCTTTCTTTCTTTCTTTAATATGATTTCCGAAGATTGACTCCAGTCATCACATTTGCACAGAAAACACTTTATGAACAGAGCTACCACCTCAACCTGAAAAGGGGTCTCTAATGATTAAGGTAAAATGAGGTCCTGATGGTGGGTCTTGACCCAGTATGTCCAGTGTCATTAAAAGAAGATATCAAGACACAGACCTTCTGGGAGAGGACTATGAGAGGTCACAAGGAGAGATAGCTACCTATGAGCCATGATCACATGAGGTCAGGGGTATACAGGGTATCCCAGATGAAGACAAGACACTTCAGAATTTTTGTCTGTATATATACCAGGTCTCGTATAGCCCAGGCTAGCTTCAGATTTGCTTTGTAGCTGAGGATGATCTTGAATGTCCAACCCTCCTGCTCCCACCTCCTGACTGGATTACAGGCCTGAACCCCTGTGCCCAGTTGTGTAGTGCTGGGGATCAAACAGCAGGGCTTTGTGCTTGCGAGGCAAGCACTCTGAGCTAAAAAACCCAGCCACAATCATGTGTGAGAATGTGGACGTGAGCAGGCTGGATCTTTTGTTATTCAACACTGTGCATACCAGGCTACTTGGCCCTTGAGCTTCCAGGGGTTCCCCTGCCTCTGTTTCTCATTTCACCACAGCAGTGCTGAGACTATGGATGTGAGATATGTCTGGTTTTCATGAATTCTGGGTATCCTAATCAGACCCTCATGCTTAGAGAAAGAAGTTTTCCGAATCTTCATATCCTCCTAAGTTTCATGTCGCTTAAAAACAAACAAACAAACAAACAAAAAACAAAAAAAAAACTTCACTCTTGAACACTCAGGGGCGTTGGAGATGGGTTCAATGTCCTCTTTGGGTTTTCTGGGACTTTGATTGTTAATATTGGTTGTCAATTTGGTTATATTTGGAATTGACTAAAATCCACATAGCTGGGCATGCCTGTGAGGGATTTTGATTAACTGGATCATTTGAAGTGAGAAGACCCACCCTACATCTGGATCATTTGAGGTCAGAAGACCCACACTCTCTTGTATAAGCTGCTACACATTTTGGTAGCAGCCTATACAAAAGGGCATGGAAGAAGGAAGCTTTTGCTTTTTGCCTGATTGCCCTCACTCTCTGTGGCAAGTTCTTCAGTTCTGTTGCCAAGGCCTTCCTTTGATGTCATTATAATTTACTTCTCCAGGACTCCAACATAGGCCAAAGACCAACTGAGACACCCATGGACTGAACAACTACCAGATTCTTGGCTTTTATTGTTGGGAGACAGTCATAGTTGGACCAGCTGGGCCACAGTCCGTAAACTCTTCTAATAAATGCCCTTTTACTAATGGTTAATTCTATTACTTCTGTTCTTCTAGAGAGCCCTGACTAATACAGGGATTCTCTATTTTCCCAGAGCTTAAAGCCAGGATGTGGCAGGGACTGTGAAGGAGCCACACCATCTTCCTGGTTTTCCGGCAGAACTCTCCCACCTCCTGGCATCCTGCTTCCTCTAGATAAGCCTTTCTGCCCTTTGTCTCTCTAAGGAAAAGCATGCAAACATAGTCTCTAGACTCGAGTCTCTACTTAAAGACTTTACACCACTACGAATGATGCCCACCTGCCATGTTTTCCTGACCACGAGGGCACAATGGCCACCTTCCCATTCTAAGCACAGCAGGCTGACACTTTAGGCCTTTGTCTTCTCAAAACTGTGTATGATGTGACTGCAGTGTGACGTTAACTCATGGATCTAATATCTAAGACTAAATGCTAAAACCATGGTAAGAATATATGTGAGAGTAGCTGAGAATGTGGCTCAGTTGAGGGAGGAGGATCAGGAGTTCAAGGTAGTAAAACAAAACAAAAATATGCAAGAACAAAAGAATATGTAGGAGAAAGCCAGGAGAAGTTACTCATGGGTGTAATCCTAGCACTCAGAAGGCTAGGGCATTAGAGGCAAGCCTGGGCTACATAGCAAGTTCCTGGGCGGGCAAGGCTGCATAGGGAGACCCTGTCTCAAAACAAAAGCAATGAAACAGAAAACCTTCATGACACTAGACCTGACAGTGGACTCTAAGCTATGACACAAGCAACAAAAGGAAAAGAGATAAACAATACTTCTTTAAAATAAAACCTTTGGCACCATTAAGAAAGTGAAATGAGCCATGCGGTGGTGGCACAGCGCCTTTAATCCCAGCATTCAGGATGCAGAGGCAGGTGAATCTCTGTGATTTTGAGGCTACCCTGGTCTATAAAGCTAGTTCCAGCCAAGGCTACACAGAAAAACCCTGTATCAAAGAAAAAAAAAAGAAAAAGAAAAAAGAAAGGACGGAGGGAAAGAGGGAGGGAGCATGAGGGCTTGGGTTTGATCTCCAGCACCCACAGTAACAAACAGCAACCTCAAAAACCTTAGAGTCAGTGAAAGAAATCAGCCTCAAGAGCACACATGATCTGTGCAGTGGTTAGTGTTCTGTCAGCTTGAATCTCGAGGCCCCTGCTGACAGGCCTCTCTGGGCCAGCCAGTGGACGGTTACCTTCATTGCATTAAGTGAGGCGGAAAGACCTGCTCACTGTGGGTGGCACCATTCTCTGGCTGGGACCCTGGACTGTGTAAGCGGAGAAGGGGAGCTGGCGGCAGCCGGCACTCCCCCTCCTCTATTCCCTCACTCTGTTCCCTCCTTCCTGTGGTGTCTGGAGTTGGCTCCAGGCGGGTTAGATGCAGAGCCACACTCACCTCCTGCCTGGTAGTGCACCTCACCCGCAAAGTGCACAATCCCAAATCTGGTGTCGTGGATGTTCTTGGGTCTCAGGAAGAACTTGTTGTTGGCATGGACGCCGTTCAGTTTCTGCAGCATAGTGACGTCTGTGCCCTGGAAGAGTCCAGATGCTCTATGGGCTGAGGCCCCAGAGCCATGAGGAGGCAAAGCAAGCTGAGCTCAGGAGGATTGACGGCTCACCATCGGTGGACAGCTAGCTCACACTGGTTGGTGACTTGTGGTAGTAAGGGCTTAGGGCCTACCCCTTTGCCAGCTCACCCACTCTACCCACTGGACAACCGTCCAGGTCCTTAGCGGTCTGGGAAGCCTTCCTGCAGGAGGGAGGTGTGCTGATGAAGCTGCGGCAAGTTGTCAATCACACCCTCCACATCCAGCACCGTGGGGTTTCGTGGCCTCAGAGAGGACACTCAGGCTCCGGGATGCATGCAGGGGAAGGTGAAGGCACCTGCCTGTGGGAAGCGGCTCTCCTCATCGAGGAGGGAGATGATGCTCATGGGCTTGAAGGCCAGCATGTCTAGGATGGGCTGGTTGTCAGTGTAGTGGATGTAGTCCCAGGAGATGTTCTCCGACAGGTACTCCTCCTGCTCCATGGTGAACACATGTTTCACGAAGAATTGCTGAAGGTGCTCGTTGGCGAAGTTGATGCAGAGTTGCTCAAAGCTGCGAAATCAACACCACCATCATCTCAGGATGGAGCAGGGTCTGGCGCTGGGTACCACCACAGCTCCAGCAGGGAGCCCCGGAGTCATGAGGCATCTTTGCCCCAGACATATGCCAGGTTCACATAGAACCTCATCCATAGGTCCACCTCAAAGCATGTACTCCCTTTTGCTTTGACTCCAGGGGACTCTCAGGGTCCAGGCTCTGACTCTAACAGCTCTAGAAGAGCACCACCTCCTTCACTTCCTCACTGGCCACCTGTTGCCTTTGACTCTGTCCTGGGCATCACCTGCCCATATTTGGCCCCTGCCCACCCTGTCTCCTCCCCTGCCTTTATCACAGGTGTCTGGTATTAATGCCTAGACCTACTTCCAGTAGCTCAGGGACACTAGAGCTGAGATGTTCTGCCTGACCTTACTTCTAAACTCAAAGGGCCAGAAGTGGTTCCCAAAAGCCCCTAGATGAGTCAGCACTATTGATTTCTGTTGTCAGCCTGACCCTGTGCAGTAAGACACCCTAGGTCAGGAGGAGGGTCAGTGGTTAAAGGGGGTGAGGAATGGCAGGAAGTAAGGCTGCCTCCTGAGGGTGGGTTTTAGTTACCTAGACTTCTTTGGGCACTGAGATGTTAAGACTCACTCGGGCTATATTTGCAGAAGGCTCAGGCTTGCTTGCAGACACCCTAGCACTGTGAGTGGGGAACATGAATTCCTTGCTCATAGCCCACTAGCCAGGGCAGAGTGAAGGAAGGGGAACAGGCACTCTCGAGCTTGGTCAGAACCACCACTCGTGTGTGTGTGTGTGTGTGTGTGTGTGTGTGTGTGTGTGTGTGTGTTGCATAGGTGCACTTGTGCATGTGTGCATGAGTGTGGAATCAACCTCAGATATTGGTCCTTGACCCAGCTTTGTTTTTGATACTGGGTCTCTTTACCAGTTCAGGTACCCGGGCTAGCCAGTGGACCACAGACACGCTCCTGTCTTTACCTCCCCAGCCCTGACATCACAGGGATGTGCCACTACGCCCATCTTTTCCCATGCGCCCTGAAAAGGAAAACCCAAGAGCCATCTCTGTAGCCTTTCATCTGTTATTTTCAGGGATAATGTAGGTTGAGGTCTTCATACCTATTGTTCTGGAAGTTTTCAAAGCCAAATATGTCCAGAAGACCAATGGCCCTCCGCACATTTTGGGGATCCTGGGATGGTGGGGTGAAGATTGCAGCATTGATCTTCTTGACAATCCACAGGAAGAGCTGCCCATAGATGCCCTAGAGAGAGGCAGGGTGACGCTTTGGTCTCTGAGGCAGAGGAAGAAGCCATGACCTTTCCAAGTTCACCCAGAGAGGCTGCATGCAGATCGGTGAAACTGACTACCCAAGGGATGCTACCCCCAAAGCTTCACCCATCCCTCTCTGTTCTGCCCTGTTCTGTGGCTTCATACCTTGACAAAGGCATCCCTCCGGTCAGCAGCCTGTGCAATGTTCAAGGGCCTGGAGACGTACTCTCCACGGATGGGGATTGTGTGTTTGATCAAACAGTCCCGGAGAGCGTGGTGCTGCACCTGGGAAGAGAGTGTGACTGTATCACACCTGTGCAGCAAAGCCAGGCTTGGGCCTCGTGCCTGTTTCCTATTCCCTCTTGTGACCAAAGACCCCTTGATGGTGGGAAATGCTCTTGACCAAACCCAGGCTCATGAGGGTCACAGTGTTGGTATCATGGGTGTCTTGTACAATGTTTATGAATAACTGCCTGTTGGTAAACCTGAACATGCTGCTTTCCTGGGCCTGAGAAGCAGGCTGGTGCAGGGAGGGCTCTGAGGCCAAATCTTGTTATACCCAAACTGAAATCACACATACCCCCACTGAAAACCAAAAGGACCATGGGAAGGTTGGAAGGGAATGGGACCTCCCCACCATGCAGAGGAGATAAAGCGGGCTTGAGCCAAAGTTTTGGAGCACCTGCTATAGTTCAAACGTGTGTCGTTGAGTTTCTATGTTGGACACATGATCCCAAAGTGTACGTGTCAGTGATGTTTGGGAGTGTGACTTTAGGACATGACTGGTTTTGTGAGGGTTTCTTTGTTTTCCGAGACCTTCAAGGCTGAACCGCAGACTAATTTGGACCAGAAAAATCACAGCACACGTGGGCTAATATGAAATGGATATTCTAATGTATATGGGGTTTGGGGCCCAAGAAAAGGCAACAGGGAGTGTCTGGGTTAAAAGAGAAGGTTCTGAGAATAGAGCCACTGAAAGGCAGGAGAGGGCACAGAGAGGAAGAAGGCACGTTCACTAAAGTTACACCGGTCACTTCAATTGTTTCAGCTCACCCTGCCCCCTCCCCCACCTTGGTCCCTACCCTCAGGGGTCCACAGTATACAGCTGGGCTCAGAACCTGGGAAACACACATGGGGAACTGGACAGGGCTATGAGAACCAGGTTTTGGGCTCTGTCAGCCTAAGACCCCAAGTCCTCTCACAAGAGTCTGAACCAGCAGAGACAATGGTCCAATACCTCTAGCAACTTCGCTGCGAAGGGGAAGGCCAGCGTCTCCATCACATCAGAGGAATCCAGGTTCTCAAAGACTGCAGCTGGGGAGAGAAGCAGAGGTCTTAGAGAGAAATCTGAGGCGATGGATAGAGGGTCCCGGAAGGCTGGGGCTCTTTGAAGCACTGTGTTTACATCTTAGGGAGAGCACTGCTCAGGCGAGTACACCTCTCTAGGGACCTTCTCCTGGCAGAGCGACTGTCCCCAACGATCACCAGCCATTATCAACGTAGTTGAATTGATGAAACAGGCCCTGGTCCCCTGTATCTGGCAGGTCACCGGGCTTAGTAGGCGACGGGAGGCTGTGTTCAGATACTGAGCAGCTCTAGCGCTGTGAGCCTGACTGGGGTCTGACAGGAGGTGAGACGGGCAGCCAGCTTCCTTTGCATCACCACGCTGTCTTTAGGAGCATAGACATTTGTGTGTGTGCAGTCAGAGGCGTCAGCGGAGCATCCGCTGCAAGCAGCCATCTCTTGAGTAAATCTCTACCTCCACTTCCTCCTCCTCCAGTCGCTGGCCACCTCGGGACAGTTGCCTAAAGGGGACTGGGGGTGTTTTTATCTTAGCTTTAAACGCTGTGAGAGCTGAGGGTGTGCCACAGTGGTAGAGAGCTTGCCTACGTGTACGTAAGAATCTGGGTTCAATCCCAAGCATCACACACACACAAATGTGTGTGTGCACTTAGACATACTAGGTTCTATGAAAACCATTTATTTGCTTTTCCATTATCTTTTTATTGCCTACATTATATCCCTATGGCACTTAGGAGGTGTGTGTGTGTGTGTACATGTCCCTATGTTTGCACAAGTGTGTGACCAGAGGTCAACAGGTGGCTTCCCTGATTACCCTCCACCTTGTATTTTGTGTTTGTGTGCGTGTGTGTAATGTATATGTATGTGTACATGTATTAATACATGTAGTGTAATGCATTAATGTGTAGATATGGGTGCCTTTGCACATGTGTGCCCTTTAATCCTCACAGCATTTTGATTTCTTACAAACTGGTTTTGTAGGTTCAAAAGTGGGTTAGTGTACTTTGGTTCACCCTGTCCATATATGTGGGTAAACTTCTGGGATCCCAGTTGACTATGGAATGATTGGAATTATTGACCTGATTCTTAAAAAAAAAAAAATCTTTTGTGTATGTGTGGATATGTATGTTGGAGGACTTCCTTAACCATTCTTCTTCTTCTTCCTCCTCCTCCTCTTCTTCTTCCTCGTCTTCTTCTTCTTTTTGAGACACACTTTCTCTGTCCTGGAGCTCACTGTTTCAGCTAGTAGACTGTCCTGTAAGTGAGGTCTAGGATCGTCCTGTCCCTGCTTCCCTACCACTGAGATTGCAGGCAAGTGCCACCATGCCAGGCTTTTTACACAGGTCCTGGGAGTACAAACTCAGGTCCTTATGATTGCATAGCAGGCACCTTACTGATACCTACCTCCTCAGCCCATACCCTGATTCTTTACCTGTAGCTGCCCTGTGCCTTCACATCTTTTCCTCAAACCTGTGAGGACTGCTAAATCATAGCCACATTTTTAGGATGTATTTTTTCCAAAACTAGGTTGAGTCACATGATCCTTCTGGTGTAAAGACCCAGGGACTTCTTTCCCCTGCTGTCCTTGTTCCTCTACTCTTCCTCCCCAGAGATGTTATCAAGATGAAAACAAAATTACCCATAAACTCCACGTTCCCCAGGTGGAGGATAGCTGCCAGCAGCTTGCTGATGTCCCAGTTCTCGGAGTCTGAGAAATGGAGGATCTTCATGGCTGAGCGAACGTGTGCGTAGTCCTTGGCATCACTGAGCCCCTCGTAGGATGTGCAGTTCCCCTGCCAGAACAGGACACTTCAGCTGATAGAGCCACCCCAAGTCTCACCTCCTCCATCCAGGAGCCAGCAAGGCCAAGGTGGCTCAGAAACTTAGTTAAAGGTCTGTCGGAGGTTGGTCTAATGCTAATGACTGGTCCTCAGGATTTAGTTACTGCCCTCCAGATACACCCATCCTTGTTTGTGTAAACCTGCTTAAAACATTATACCTGACTGGTTCATTAAGTGGCCTATACCTGGACAAGGCAGAGTGAGGTAGGTGTGGCAAAGGTTCCCAGGCCTTTGGGTTCAAGAGAGAATCACGAGGACAGACAGAGAGGAAGAGAGGAGGAAGGAAGGAGACATGATGGGTGAGCCTGGAAAAGAAACCACATAGGGCCAGGAAGAAGGGCTCCAGTAATGATGTGACAAGGCCCAGATGAAGAATAAAAGCAAGTATTTATAAGATTATGGATAGAAGATAGGATGGTTAAGGAGGATGGCCTTGGATGGGGGCTGGGAGATGGATGCTGAGGTGATGTAGACATTGTAGTAGGGACATCTGCCCAGCCCAAGGTAAATAGGGCAATTATAAAATCTAACAGGTGTCTGCATCTTATTATTTGTGATAGCAGGTTAGATAATACTGCTATGATAATCATACGACTAATAGTAAATAATATCTAGCCCAACAGCTTACTTATTTATTTATTTACTACAACAAAGGTCCCTGAAAAGTCAACGTATAAGCTCTGGGTGAACTCTGCAGGGCAACAGTCATGTGTCCAACCAAGCAATCAAATCAAGGTGTTTTCAGAGGCAAAGCCACATGGAGATATTCTAGGAAGGCACTTGTTCTCCTTCATTTGGCTTTGAAATAATGGAGCCTAAGAAACTGGAATTTCCTCCTGGGAGGAGGACAGGGCCTAGTGCCAGCCAGAAGGAGAGACTATCTCCCAGACTACCTCTTCGGAGGAGTGAAGCTGAGACAAGGCTGCTTAGCTTTGTGTAGCTCTTGCCTTCCCTTTAAACCCATGTTTTCTGCACAGACTAGCCTGAAAGACACCTGACTTCATTGTGCCTCTTCCCAGAATAAATCTCCTTTCTCTGCTTTGCCCGTGATCATTTGTTTAATTAGCTCATTGAGGACAGGTGGATGAGCCTTGTTAGAGCTGCCTGGACCCAGACTCTGACCCTGGCAGCTCTGGTGGCACCACAGCTAAAGCACACCTTGGTTTTGCCACAGCAGCACTGGGTGACCATGAGTGAGTCCCTTCTCTGGAACTCTATTTGTCATCCATCCATCTTGAGCATGCCTGGCCTGTCTGTAGGGAATGCTCTGGGCTCATTCCCACAGGAAGCACTTCTCAAGGCTGGCTACATAGCAAGACCTGTGCTCCTAATGACCTGCAATTCTTCACAGCTACTGTATATGTAAGAGGGGCAGGTAAGAGGCCAATGGCTCTTAGCTATTACCAGTGCTAAGACCAAAGAGGCCAAACCTAGCCCTACTGGGAGGTAGGGAGAGGTTCCCTGCAGAAAGCATCTGAGCTGGGCCTTCACGGGGCAGAGGGTGGTGGGACAGAGTCCGGGGGTGGGGTACAAGGGCTGCTGCAAGGAGGGTCAGATTTTGGAGGAGTATGAAGCTATGCCAAAGATCTTGAACTAGTAGCAACTCATGTCTATCAGAGGGGCGTGCACTGTGAGATCTCCTTAGCTGCATGTAGATGATAGGTCAAAGCTGGCCACAGGGACAACCTAAAAGAAAACTACTGCCACATCTAGGAGAGGACTGGTGAAGACTTCGAGGGAGTGACCAGAGTAGAGACGGTATATGGTAGAGCGATCCAATGGGTAGAACCTAACACTCTCTCATTAACTAACACAAGCCCACAGCTGCACAAATCTCATTGTCCTGGAAAGGAGGGATCAGGGAGAGCAAGGTTCATGTTCTGAGAGCTTGTAGTCTGGGTGAACCTACAAGGATGGATTCAAGGGTCTGTGCATACCTGTCTATCTTCTATTGTCCTGGGAGCCTCTTGTAGGGATTCAGAAGAAGATGGGGTATGAGGGAAAGGACTGGAGCCTTAGCTTGGGGTCCCAGGAATACATGGAGCGGAGGGGAAATAGGAAGCAGGCCACAAAGGTGCTCATAAAATTGCTTCCCAACAGGAAGGAAAGTGGCCTAGCACTGACCTCAGGGCCCAGCTAGAGGAGAGGCAGCCCAGCAGCCAAGATTGAAGTTTGAACATGTGCGATGCATTCCTTTTCTCCCTTTGCCTCTGAGGAGCAAGTTGGGAAGAGAAACAGGGGAGCTCACCATGGTCAGGTAGTGGTACTCAGAGGGCATGCCCAGACCCAGCAGTTTCTTCTCCTCCAGGCTCATCCCCATCAGCATGCAGTAGAAAATGTGGTAGTTACGCTCCTCTGCAGCCTAGGAGAAAAGGCATCGAAAGAAACACATGAGCAAGACCCTCAGAACTTCTCCAGTTTCAGCTTGAGGAACTCCCAGCCACATGTGGCTGTGGCATTTACCAGCCTGAATCCCTAGGTCACCTATGTTCCAAGAAGCAGAGGATTCTGGGTACCATGAGCCAAGAGGCTAGCCTGACCTTAGAGTCATCTTGACCTCACTTCCTATCCCAGAAAGCCATACAGGACTCTGCAACTCATCATTTCATGGAATTTATGATCACTCTGTGACTAGAGAGCCAGTGGCCATGGGCTTGGGCAGAGGGGAGGTTTGTAAATACTGTCCATAACCACATCCTCACTGTTGTTGTGAAGTAAGCTTTTTTCCACCCTGTCTTTCCCCATCCTCGAAATCTCCACTTCTCCCTTCACAGAAGCCCTTCAGGGTTTGTGTTTCTTCTGGACCTCAAATTCACTTACATAATTTACATATATATATATGTAGTAATTTACATATATATATATATACACTTTGATTTATGTATGTGTTCTTGTGTGTGCAGGCATGCTTGTACAGCATGAATGTGGAGGCTCTAGGACAATCTTGGATATAGTTCTTGGTAGTCTACCTTGGTTGTTTTTTTTTGTTTGTTTGTTTTTTTGGCCTAGAACAAGGAAAGTAGACCAGGCTAGCTGGTGACAAACCCCAGGGGTCCTTCTGCCTCTGTATCCCCAGTCTTGAGCCATGGCCTTCTGTACCATTACCCAGGGCCCCTGCCACAGCTCCCAAAGCACTTTGACTTAGATTTGCTCTAGCCAGTGGAGGTGAGGCACCAAAGAACGAAAAAGGAAAGGTACGTGGATGAAAGAGGATTAGAAGTTCAAACTTACCCGCAGCTACATAGCAAGTTAAAAAAAAAAAAAAAAGACATGTTGGGGCCAAGGAGATGGCTCAGATGGTAAAGTACTTGCCATGCAAGCACAAGGGTAGGAGTTCAAATCCCCACTACTCGTATAAAAAGCTGAATATGGCGGTATACACCTGTAATCCCAGTGCTGGGTGACAGAAACTGAATCTCTGGGGCTTGCTGGCCAGACAATCTTGTTGAATCAGAGAGCTCGAGATACAATGAACAACCTCATACCCAAAAATAAGGTGGAAAGTGAGAGAGCCAACCCTGACTGGCTACACACATGTCTCTGCCCACACACAAACATGTATACATCACACATGCCTCTGTACAAGTTGTATGGACAAGAAAGTCAAGGCTGAGGATATCCAGTTGTTCCCTTTGCGGCGATATTAAGAAGCTCATGGGAGGTGACAGAGGCAGGAGGATGGCAGGGAGGAAGTCCTGGGGGGGGTGGTCTCACCTGCCGGCAGACCCTTGACTTCTCCAGGAGGAAGTGCTCGATGCTGGCGCCCTCGATCACCCCGCTGGAGTTGAAGTGGATGTCGATGTACTTGCCGAAGCGGCTGGAGTTGTCATTGCGGATGGTCTTGGCGTTGCCAAAGGCTGAGGTGGGAATGGAGGGGCTCCCAACAGGAGCAGGGAGGAGAAAAATTCTGTTTATTTAAAGGTCATCTGGGCAGGTTCTCAGAGGAGGTGGATGAAAGATCTGGAGTCTGAGATTCAAGGATCAACAGTGAAGTGGCTAGTCTTTGGGAGAAGAAGTTCATTTTTCCAAAGCTATTAATGCTTTGGATAGACAGACAAACAGACAGACAGACAGACAGCATGACCCCAACACTGCAGATAGACAGCAAGTTTGCAGCCTTGAAGAGAGCTCAGGTCCACATGGCAGAGTGGGAGTCTCTTCTTACAGATGTCAGAGGAAAGGGGGTTTCTGCCACCTAGCTGAGGAGTAGCCTACATTTGGGGAAGATTTGGGGGTGTGGAATAAGAGAAGAGGGGGAAAAGCACATCTAATTGAGGTGTACCCATTATAGCAGCAGCCATCCTGGTGTCGATGGTCTTGAGCCTGTAAACTCTCTTGGGGAAGTGAGACTGCAATCCAGGCAGCCAGGGAGTTGGTGAGGACGTTAGAGTCACAGCCTGGCTTTTTGTAGGGGAGTTGGTATTTATTTCCCTTTCAGCAGCGTAAGAAAGAGGCTGTTTCCGGTAAACATGGCTCGAAAGCCCCTAGTCTGTAACCCGACAGTGGAGAGCCTGCAGTTAATTGAAGGCTGAGGATGGTCGTCCAGGTAGGCACAGCAGGCAAGGGACAGTACAGGAAAGCTAGCTTGTCAGAAGGCTCCCGTAGAGTAGGAAGAGAAGAGAAGAGAAGGCTGGCCAAATGAGGAGGCTAGGTGGCTTACAGCTGTGAATGCTACGCTCGGAATTTGAGAAGGCCTCCTGCAGGAGCCGGAGGAGGCAGGGAGGCCTCTGAGGGCCAACAGAGCGGTTGTGCTTGGTGAGTGGTCAGCCTTAAATACATGTACATAGATGTTACACTAAAAAGACTCAGCATGTGGCGCACACGCACACACACACACACACACACACACACACACTCACACACTCACACACAATTAAAGAAGATGAGGCTGCAGAGAAGGCTCAGCAGTTAAAAGCACTGACTTTTTTCAGAGGAGCTGGGTTGACTCCCAGCACCCACATGTGGCCTAAAACCATCTGTGACTCCAGCTTCAGGGAATCTGACACCTTCTTCTGGTCTCCACAGGCCACCACATCCATGCGGTGCAAAGGCGCACATGTAGGCCAGTCACTCATGCACAGAAAATAAGAATCAATAAAATATTAAAAAAAATAAGTACATTAGAGGAGGTCACGAATTTAAAGGAGAGTTGGAGGGACACAGGAGGAGTTGGAGGAGAGAGAGGGGAAGGGTGGAAATCTTGTAAATACTGTATTCATGAAGAAATTCTCAAAAAAGAAAAGAAAGGAGAGGAAAAAAAGAGACGACTCAGATGACAAGACAGAGGTGGGATGGGAAGCATGAGTGTCACAGCCTGACTCCCCTCAGAAGGGGCAGATGGCTACAGAAGGAAATATGTGGATTTTAGCATGGACCCGAAGTATCTTTTGTAGAGCTTCTCATATGGCCCACAGAACTGGGAAAACTGTCAGAATCAAAATGAAGTCCTTTGTGTCAAACGTTTAGTGATGACAGTGACAATAAAGCAGGGACACTGGGAGGGCTCTCAGGACCGTATGCCCACGATGGGTAGGCAGGAACAGGAGGGCCGCTGCCAGCCAGCCTAGCCAATCGGTGAGCTTCCGACTCAGTGAGAGACGCCCTATCAGAAATCAGGTGGAGCCTGGAGGGATGGCTCAGGAGTCAGGAGCACAAGCAGAGGGCTGGAGCTGGGTTTCCAGCATCACATTTTGTGGCTCACAACTGCCCCTAACTCCAGCTGCAAGGCAATTGACACCCTTTCCTGGCTTCATCAGGCACTCACATACTTACACACAAGGCACATAACATCAGCCTCTGTTCTCCGTGTGCACATACCCCCCCTCCCCTCACGTTTACACCATGCACACGAACTCAAACCGAACTGCCACTAAATCTGTTTTTAAAGACAGGCTGGCCTCAATGTCACAGTCTTTCTAACTCTAAACCCCTTACGGTCTAGCAAGATGATTCAGCAGACAAAGATGCTTGCAAACAAGCCTGATGGCCTTCGTTTGATCCAAGGGACCGGCATGGGGGGCGGGGGGGGGGCGACACCAGCAAGTTGCCCGCTGACTTCCACAAGTGCACTGTGGCACCTGTGTGTGCACACTTAAATGAACATATTATTGCAAGCACGAGGGCTTACGTTCGGGTCCCCAGAACTCATGTAAAATGCTGGGCCTGCTGGCACATGCCTATAATCCCGAGGCAATCTCTTGGGGAAGTGAGACTGCAATCCAGGCTTGCAGTCAACCAGCTTAGCCCACTTGGTGAAGATCCAAGTCAGCGTCTCAACCAAAAGGTGGAATGCACCTAAGGTTGACTTCTGACCTTCATATCCTTATACATACATGTATGTTTGTACATATACATGTTCATACCTCCATAAGATAAAAAATAAAAACCACAGAAATGGGGGAAGAGAAATGAACTATGTCCAGCAGCTACCTGAGGCCAAGGTAACACGTGTCTGGGCCATCCCTGCCAGGGACTACACCCAAGGGAAGGGCACAGAGCCTGTCCTTAGGGTGGCCTTGTGAGCACACTGCAGGGCCTCTTGCTGTAAACAGACAATGACTGTAGGACACTAACCCTGGCACAAGGCATCTGGCTTGACCCCCTCCTCACCCTCCTTCCTGTCTTCCCTTCCCCAACTCTCCAGTCAGCATTAGAGCCCGAATCCTTGCTCTGTCTACTCCTGCCTTTCCCTTTTTGTCTTCTCTATGGTTCCCCATTGCAGCCTTAATGGTTTGTGGCCCAGAACAACTTCCCAGGGACCCGAAAACACAGACATTTCTAGAAAACTGGCTTGATCTTGAAATCCTATTTTAAAAGCAATACTGTACCCGCCCGCCTCCCCACCCCCGTGGTGGGTGTGTGTGTGTGCGCGTGTGTGTGTATGCCTGAAGGCCAGAGATCAACCTCAGGTGTCACTTTTTATCCACCTTGGGTTTTTGAGAGAGGGTCTCTCACTGGGATCTGAAGCTCACCAATCAGGCTGGGCTGGCCATTGAGCCCCAGGAATTTACTTACGTCTAATTCTCTCATGCTAGGATTACAAGTGCCACCCCACTCACCCCACCCCACCCTTTTTTTTTTTTTTTTGTCTGTGCTGAGGATTGAATTTGGGTCCTCATGCTTATATGGCAAACATTTTGCCAGCTAAGCCATCTCGATAGCCTATCTTTTTTTGTTTTACTGAGGTAGTGTTTTGCTATACAGTCCAGGCCTTAAATTCAAGGTTCCTGTGCCTTGGCCTCCCCAGAGCTAGGACTACAGGCACATGCTGCTGTTTCTGGCTGAAACGCTCTATGTATCTGGTGGCAAACACTCATCGTGGAAGTTTATAGTTGTCATCTGTCCCCTTCATGCTGCCTGGGACCACACACTCTGTTCGCCCCACCCTTGTTTGAAGGTCATGACCTGTGTCATGGCTGTCATGGCTATCACACGTGGAGAGGGTCATTCCTGTCCAAGTCCTCAGGATCATAGCTTACCTTCCAGGATGGGGTTGGCCTCCAGGACCTGCTGCTCAATCCATGAGTGCTGGCCGCTGACTGTAGCCAGGAACTGAAGGATGAGCTTGGTGGTCTCAGTCTTCCCAGCCCCAGACTCGCCACTGCCAGAGAGTGCAGGCAAATGAGGCCGCAGACAGACACCACTACCTAGAGCCTCTCCACTCCATATAAATGACCTCCCTGCTCCACCCCACCACTCCCCCCCCCATCCCCCAGGTCCACATCTGGGCCATGCCCACAGGCATACACTTTCCCATGAAGAAATTCCACACTGCATTTGCCCTGAAGTCCCCTGAGCATCTCAGACTATCTGTGATACAGGCATGCCTAACCAGTAGCTTTGTGGGGCACACGTGCTCCGGGATAACTATAACATAGCTCAGCACATTTGTAGAAGACAATGTCGAAAAGTTGAACACCCCTGCGTTGTCATTGCGTCGTCTCTTCTTTCCTGCTAGGCTGAAAGACTCTCACTATGATCTGGGTTGTTCCAGGGCCCTCTGACAGAACAAGTAAGGTAACCCAGTGTCTTTGGGATGAAATGTGGCCCCCAGGCCAGTGGCATCTGTCACCTGGATAGAAATCCAGGATTCCAGGTTGCCTGAGCTAGACCCAGTCAGAATCTGTGTTCTTATGTATGGAGCTTCCTGTGGTGGTTAGTTCTGTCAGCTTGACAGGCTCTGAGTCACCAACGGCACAGCCTCTGGGCATGCCTGTGAGATTGTCTAGATTGCGTTACTTGAGGGGGGAAGACCCACCCTAAATACAGCTGGCACCTACCCATAGGCTGGCACCCTGGACGGAATGAAAAGGGCCGATCAAGCTGGGCACTAGCGTTCACCTCTGTCTGTGTCCTGACTGAGGGTGCAGTGTGACCAGCGCCTCATACCCTTGCCTCAGTGCCTTCTCCACCAGGAAGAACCTGTGAGTCCTTTCTTCCTTCAGTGCTCTGCTGGGTGTCTGGTAGCAGCTGGCAATTTGCAGCAGGACTTGCTGACCGTCCTGGAGAGCCAGCTGCTTGCTATGTGGCTTCAATATTCACTCCAAACTCATGTTGAACCGGGCATGGTGCCATACCTTTAATTCTAGCACTCAGGAGGCAGAGAAAGACTGATGTCTGTGAGTTCAAGGCCAGCTTGGTCTACCCAGCAATTTCCAAACCAGCCAGGGCTGTGAGAGACATAGCTCTCAAAAATGTAGTAAGACCCAGTCTCAAAATAAAACCAAAACAAACAAAAAGGAAATTTATGGAAAAATAATACTGTCCTGGTGATGGTGGCCCATGCCTTTAATTGCAGCACTGAGAAGCCAGAGGCAGGCAGATAGATCTCTGAGTTTGAGGCCAGCTTGATCTACATAGTGAGTTCCAGGACAGCCAGGGCTACACAGAGAAATCCTATCTCAAAACAAACAAACCCTTCCCCCCCCCCCCCCCCCCCAAAAAAAAAAAAAAAAAAGAAAGAAGTGAAACAGAGGCTCACTATATTGCTTAAACTAATCTTGAGCTCATGGCCTCACAGATCCTGTCACCTCACCTTCCTAAGTAGCTGGGACCAGAGATGTGCACCACAGATCAGTGAGCTCATATTGACATGTAATCATATTAGAGGTAGGATTTCAGGCTGGAGTCCTGCTTAGGGCCAAAGCGCTTGCTTGGCATGCATGCCTTTGACTACCAGCACGGAGGTGAGGCTTGGGGAGCTAACTAAGGAGATGACTAAGAAGCCAGGCATGAATGGACATGGTAGCGCACACACCTTTAACTTTAGGTAGGGACAGGCAGATTGTTTTGAGTTCAAAACCAGCCCATTTTATATATCAAGTTCCAGGCTCGTCTGGGCTACATAGGAAGACCCTGTTTTAAAAGAAAGACATGGAGAGAGGGACAGAGAGAGAGAATAAGAAGAGAAGATGAAGATGTAGCTCAGGAGGTCGGGCACTTGCCTAGCACTCACAAAGTTTTGGTTTCTGTCTCCAACATGGCTTAAACAAACATGCTTCATGCCTACAATCCCAACACTTAAGATGACAGAGAGAGGTAGGAGGATCAGAAGTACAAAGCCATCCTCGGATACATGAAAATTTTGAGGTCACCTTGAGCTACATAATACTCTGTCTCTGAAAAACAAATATGACAAAAAAAGAGATTAGGTAAAAAATGGGTTGATGTCACTTGGACTTCCCAGCCTCCAGAACCATGTACTCTCCCGGTTATAAAGTACCTACCCTGGCTTTCTGTCACAGCAGCCATGAAATTGCTAAGATGCCAGGGCAAATGGAGAACCAAGGTTCACTCAAGGTGCCATAGAAGATCACCACAAGGAGCCAGGCACAAGGAGTCTGTCCTTGGCTTGAGTCTGTTTAGGAAGCCTCTTGGAGCAAGGGCGAGGAGGTGCAGAGACATAAAGACAGTGAGGTCCCAAGACACTTCCCTGTCTTCTCTGGAACCCTGCATTTGAATTCTCTACTTATGTGCCCATAGCAGAAAATAGGGGCTAGAGAAAGCTACACCAAGTTTAACAAATGAGAAGCCAGATGACAGAGAAAGACCAGAAGCCCTTCCTACCTGGGCTGCACGCAGCAGAGCATGTGTGAGGAAAGCTCATGATATTACAGGCAAGATGGGTGGTTGCTTATGTGATTGACTGTGTTTCTGTGGCTTCTGGCCTGGCACTGTTAAAGCACACACTTTTCCCAGCTCCCACTCTCAGGAGTATATTTCTTTAAAAATGATCTCTGCTTCTATTTCTAACCGTGTGACCTGGGGCTTAGAACCTCATCGGAACATCACTGGGAAAGAACTTTGACCTCTCCAGTTGGAGGTTTCCCTACCATTAAAATAAGAACACAATTCAGGGGCTAGAGAGACGGCTCAGTGGTTAAGAGCTGCTCTTCGAGAGGACGCAAGTTCAATTCCCAGCACCCACATGGCAGCTCTCAACTGTCTGTAACTCCAGTTCCAGGGGATCTGACACCTTCCCACATGCATGCATGCAGGTAAAACACCAATGCACATAAAATAAAAATAAATAAATAAAAAGAAGAACACAATTCAGAGGGGTGACTGAAGGCATGAAATGGCATTTACGCTAGGATGCCATCTGGTGTCCTTACTCAGAGAGGCAACATCCTGTTATTTGCCTCTTCCCTGTCATGCATCCCTTCAATGCTCTTAGCATCTGCATCCAAACATACTACTGCTGCCTGCCAGTCTACGGTTCTGTGACATGAACCCTCCAACAGAAGTTGGAGTCTCTTTCATCTGCCGATGTTTCGTGTGTTAGGACGGTGAGGGCCAATAAGATCTTTTTGTTTATTATTTATTTTTATTTTAAAAGTTAATTTAGTTTTATTTTTGGTTTTTCAAGATGGAGTCTCTCTGTGTATCTTTGGCTATCCTTGAACCTGCTGGGTAGACCAGGCTGGTCTCAAACTCACAAACATCCTCCTGCCTCTGCCTCCCAAGTGCTGGGATCCGAGGTGTGTGCTATCACGGCCTGGTCATTTTTATTTTTGAGACAGGGTTTCATGCAACCCAGGCTGGCCTAAATTTTGCTCTATATCCAAGGGGAAACTTGAACTTTCTGATTCTCATGCCTTCACCTTCTGAGTGCTGGGATTACGGATGTGCACAACCATACCCAGTTCACCCATTGCTTCACGCGGTGGGCAAACACCCTAGCAACTAAGCTACCTCTCTAACCTGGGGTGCAAAAGTATCTTGAATGAATGAATAAACAAACCCACGAATAAGTGAATGATGATTTCAATGCCAAGTTAGAGGCTCGGAAGCAAAATTCTGACTCCTCCTATTTTCCCTCAGCGGGAGGAAGGTGTGTGCCAGGGAGGCTAGGCTCTGACAGGCAGGGAAGCAGAGCCGGGCTTGGGATTAGAGGGGAACATTCCCCTCCCACCCCTCAGAGACCTCAGAGTATGGAGGACACATCTTCAGAAAACATATCCTCAGGGTGTGGGAACCATGTCCTTGGGATGGGGAGGGACACGTCCTTGGGGTGTGGAGGACGTGTTCTTGAGGCCTGAAGGGCATGCCATTGAGAGGGGGGCCGTAGGAGCCGTTCAGGGCAAACACCTCTGCTAAGAACGGTAGTTGAGAAGAGCCCCCCTGGCAACCTCAAGGCAAGGCGTGTCCATTTCTTTGTGGGATCCTCTGGGGCTCGGAGGCGATAGCTGACCACCTGGCCAGGGAATGGGGCCTGAGCCTCACCTGATGACGCAGCACTGGTCCCTCTTGTTCTTCTTCAAGTTGAAGTAGCAGCTGTTGGCCACGGCAAAGACGTGGGGAGGCAGCTCCCCCATGTGGTGGCTGTAGTAGAGCTGTACCTGCTCCAGCGTATACAGGGGCAGCATCTGGAACGGGTTCACAGCCACCAGGATGGAGCCGGTGTAGGTCTGGGGAAGGGAGCAGGTGGTCAGCAACCGCCGATCCAGGTGCCGCCAACCCGCTGGGCCTCAGCCTTGACTGCAACACCCCACCCCGGGAGCTGCTCTCAGCTGCTCGGCTACTCTCTCTGGGAAGACGGAGAGCCCCCTGGCACTGTGAACTTCTGCGGGCTTGTTCCGGGTCACACTGAATGTGCGGCGCCCTGCCTAGTTTTAGAAAGGGCTCAATAAAAATGGGTTGAATATATAAGTGAGTGTTTACCTGCCACTTTTTAAAGGTCTCCGTGAAGGCGGAGTGACATCTGCCGTCCCCAGCTAAGCCCAATCACCTGGTCTATGTACTTTTGGCCCAGGATATAGCCTGCTATTGAACGTCCTACCCAGCTGGAACCTCCCCCCACTCAGCACAGCTGCCCCTGTGGAGGTGAGACCAGAGATCCTAGGTGGGCACCAGCCGACCTACGTCCATCTCCAGCCGTGCTTCTGTTTCTCTGGATTGGTAGCAGAGACTGAGAAAGCTTCCGTGTCTGGACCACCCCACTGGGTAAGGATAAGGGGAGCTGTGCTGAGCTCCGGGCCCCTCAGCTTCCCCGAGGACATGGCACCAGTGAACTCACATAGATCTTGTGCTGCTGGTATCGGATCAGGAGGTTGTGTACCACACCTGCCTCGTTCAGGTCCCCGAGGCGGATCATGTCATCCACTCCTTGGACTGAGTTGGGGTGCATGGGCCTGAGGGCGCTGAGGTCTTCTGCATAGATCCAGTGTTCCTGTAATGACAGGCACCAACTCTCCACATACGTCTGCCCTCAACACCCCTCTCTTCCGCATTCTCAGGTCTGAGATGACTCTCTGGCCCCGACGAATCTCGGTTTGGGTCAAGGGATCCATCTGTGGCTCTGTGCAGCACCTGTCTAAGGGACTGGGGTCTGTGTGGCTCTGGGGCTGGGCTGAGCATCAGATAGAAATGTAGGAGCCAGAAGCTGGGAGTCCGCTTTAGCGTCGGGTTGCAGATCGAGGCCTTGGGAGTTCTTGGAGCAGAGCAGTGCAAGTAATCATGGTTTTAAAATCCCACAGTGCTACTCAAGTAGAAGGAACACTGTTATTATTTTATTGGCTTCCTAGGATTGGAGATCCTAGGCACAGTCAGAGCCTTCTCTTTGTAGGTCACTTGTCTGCACGTGATTCTCTCTAGAGCCTCTGGGGACAGGGAAGTTAACCTAGAGAGGAGTTAGTGACCAGCCAGATGCGTGCCTCCTCACTGTCCTTGACTGTCCCTGTCTCGTTCAGATGGGTGAGCTTCTAACTGTACTACTCTGAGCTGTCTGCTTCTAATCTGGACACTTTTGTCTCCTATTCTTTCTCCTCTTCCTTTCACCTTTCTCACCAAGCTGTCGCTCTTGCCTCTTTTTCCTCTGCACATCAGCTTTTGGACCTCCATCATCCCTGCCTCATCCCATTGCCTCACTCCTTCCTATACCCCTAATAGTTCTCAGTTGTTATCCTCAAAAATGTTTCCAAGACAAATATGTTCTTTCAACAAGGCAGGACTCCATCGTGGTCTATCCTGCCCAGGGGATAAATGGATTTCCTGGATGGTGTTAGTGAGCAAGTGCCTGAGCCCCAGAGGGAGGGATTTAGGGATAGCAACCGATACCAACCTTGCCCTCATCATCCTCAATCAAGATCTTCCCCACTTTTGTTTCTTTGACAACGCCCCCGATGGACACCCCAGCCTTGCTGGTGGAGGGAGGGTCCAGCCACACATGGTCACCCTAGAGTGCAGAGAAGAGATAGTGGTCTGAGTCCGATTCTCCCTTCCTTTTCCCACCAGAGACTTACCTGTCATGGAACTGCCACCTGCAAGCTCCCAGGGGTCAGAAGTTTTCCCCATCTCTTTGTCCTCTCCCTCAGATGTTCTCATGTGACCCCTCACTGCCAATCAAGCTTCCCAGTGTCTAGTCTGTCTAGAACATGAACTCAGCAGGGCCAGGGCTCAGCCTTCTCCATAGCATCTCTTACTAAGAGGGGGAAAAAAACCGGTCAAAGGAAACAAATGACATCTAAACTTTGTCCCAGATCATGGAAGGCAGTGAGGCAGGATGGTTAACAAAAGACTCCTTCTCACACTTGAAAAATGGAGTGCTCGGAGATGCCTTCAATACCTGGCATCTATTTTTTTTTTAAAGCTGGGCATGGTGGTGTATGCTTGTAATCCCAGGGCTGGGGGAATGGGAATAGGAGGCTCCATGGGGTTCACAGGAGTTAAGAAATCTTCACAGTACCCCAGCCAACGCTCGTGAAAATGCGGGCTGAAAACGTATACATCAGGTTCTTTTGCTAGTCTGCCATATCACACTGATACCATCCCACCACTATCGCCACAGAAACCCCCGGGTGATTTAAGAAACCTCACTGTGACAGAAATGATTCCAAAGGGCCGGCATAGAAAGGTGTTGTGTGGACGTCTCTTTGTGCTCAGGGTTGGGGTTAGTGTGTGTGTTTGTGTGTGTGTGTGTGTGTGTGTGTGTGTGTGTGTGTGTGTGTACACAAATATGTGGAGGTGGTCAGGGGCCAAAGCCATGTCTTCCTCAGTTGATTTCTGTCTTATTTATTTTATCTGAGATAGTGTCTCTTATTGAATTTGGTGCTCACTGACTTAGATAGACTGGCTAGCCAGCAAGTAGGGATTGTCCTATTTCTGCCTTCTAAGGGCTGGGATTATAGTCACACCACTAACCCTGGCTTTTTGACAAGGACTCCACTGTTTAGAACTCATGTCCTCCTGTTTCCTCAGCAAGGACTTTGCCAATTGAGCCATTTCCCCTCCCCTACATAGGAAGGTACTGGTAGTGAAAAGGAGGAAATGAGCAGCAAAGAAGAAAGACACTGCTAGAATACTGGATGTTGTGAGCAAGTGTTTTAATGCAATTTATAAAATGTACTGACATGCAGGTCAGAGGCAAAAGAGCTCAGGTGTCAGGAGACAAGTAAAATGAACAAGAGCCACCAGAGACCAGAAAGGAATGAAGGAAACAAAATGATAGGGCAGGAGACACAGCTTAGCAGTTAGGAGCACTGGCTGCTCTCGCAGAGGGACAGGGTTCCGTTTCCAGCACCTACATGGCAGCTCACAACCGTCCACAACTCCAGTTCCAGGGTATTTATTACCTCCTTCTGTCCTTGGGAACCAGACATACATGTGGTGTACGTACATACATACAAGCACTCACACACAAATAAATCTTTTTTTTTAAAAGCCAATCATAAAAAGATAAATACCAAATGACTGTTTATGAAATACATGAATGAGCCAAAATAATAGGAACAAAAAAAAATAGAAAGATGGTTTTTCAAAGGCCAGGAGAGAAGCCATTAATGTTGAATGGGTTTAGAGTCTCAGTTTTTCTAGAGATGTGTTACCCAACAGTGTGGAGATGCTTAACACTAAGCATGATAGAATGGTTACAATAATAAATTTAGTGTTATGCATCTTTGCACAGCGGTTTTAAAGGAAAAGAACAAGTGTGTGTGTGTGTGTGTGTGTGTGTATAGTGTTTCTTTAATCAAAACAAACATATTTGAAGAGTCACTGTTATTCCCATAAGCTTTCTCAATTCACCTTGAGAGAACTTGAGTAAACAGTACAAAGAATGAAAACAGATTCAACCATGATGCATCGTAGTGACATTCCAAAATCCTTGGGGACAAGGGGAAGATCATAAATAAATTTAGAAAGAGAAAAAAAAATCACACAAGAGATCAAGAGTTGGGATGACAGGATGGTATCAAACTTCCCAACAGCAATGCCAGATGTCAGAAGACAACAGTGAGTGGCTTCACAATTTTCAGTGGAAGTTATGTCCGAATGACCTCACATGCACATACGATATTAGAATCTGGGAGTTCTTCAGAACATGTGTCCTTTCTGAGAAAGCCACCTCAGGGCATGCTAAGTTCAAACTAGGCAGTAAATGAAGAAAAGGAAAGATCTTGATCTGGGGCCAGAGAAAATGGATACTGATGAGCTGCTCACCTTGTCTTATTTGCTTATGCTGGGACCCCGGCCCAAGGAATGGTGCCACCTGCATTCAGTGAACCCAGCCTAGAAAATTCCTCAAAGACACCGGCCTGTCTCTAGATTCTAAACTATACTGGTTATTATTATTATTATTATTATTATTATTATTATTATTATTATCAACTTTATATAAGGTAGTTACCCAGGAACAGAGATCATCACTTTCGGAGGAACTGCCTCCATCAGATTGACCCATGGGCACACCTAAAGGGCAATTCTTGATTAATGATGGATGTGGAAGGGCTTAGCCCACTGTGGCAGGTGGTGCTAGGTTGGGTTGTACACGAAAGCAAGCTAAGCAGGCATGAGGAGCAAGCCAGTAAATAGTAGCATTTCTCCACAGCCTCTGCTTCAGTTCCTGCCTCTGTGTTCCTGAGTTCCTGAGTTCCTCGGTCATGACCTCCCTTGAGGATCTGTAACCTGTAAACCAAACAAACCCTCTCCTCTCCAACATGCTTTTGATCATGACGTTTACCACAGCAACAGAAACACAAACTAAGAGGTAGATCCAATACTAACCATCGAAGAGAAAATGGACAAAATTATAGCAAAGGAAATCTCCTGCATACAATCTTAGGTAACATAACATAAGAGCGATTAAGTCAACAGTGGCCACATGCCCAATGGTGGTCCCTTATACATCCTACTTACAGTAGCTGTCTTTGTTTGTGCAGATACACTTCATTATGTTTACACAACAGAATTGCTAATGATTTCTCAGAAAACTTTGAGGAGGGTGGGTTGAGGTCAGGGGCAATGGTTCGGTGGAGAAGGAGCTTGGCATCCAAGCTTGAGGACTAGAGTTGAGCTCCTGAGCACCTACATAAAAAAGCAGGAGGGTGTGGGAGCCTGCCTGTGATCCAGTGCTCTGGAGGCAGAAACAGGAGACCCCCAGAGCAAGATGAAGATCTAGACTAGCTGAATCGACACACTTTCAGGTCGCGGTGGTAAGAGATTGAGAGAGACATCCTACATCAACCTTAGGCCTCTGTGTGCATAGGCACGCCCCTACTTGCACGCATGTCTACACATGTGAGCATGCTTTACACAGCATGTACGCTACATACACATACATACAGGGGAAAGGGGGATTTGAAGTCCTCTTTGGCTCCATAGAAAGTGTGAGGCCAGCCTGGGTGCCTGCTGGAAACGAGGGTTTAATGAGGGTGAACAGGGATGGATCGGCACTGTAAGCATGCAGTTGGTGGGGCCGGCACTGGGGAAGGTGCCTTTCTTGTGCTGAAGAAAATCAACAGCGGAGAACACTTAAAAAGAAACTGTCAAGCAGCACCATAAGATCTCTAGAGAGGTGGAAAAGAAAATCAAAACCAACAGGATTCACTAGTGCAGTGGTTCTCAGCCTTCCTAACGCTGTGACCCTTTAATACAGTTGTGGTGACCTCCAACCACGAAACTATTTTTGTTGCTACCTCATAGCTGTAATTTTGCTTCTGCTATAAATTATCTGTGTTTTCTGATGGGGGTCATTCACCCTCCAAGGGAGTCGTGACTGCTGCATTAAGAGCTTAAGCAACCTACAGGGACCAGAGGGCTGAGCCTCTAAACTTTCTGCCTATATAACTTGGTGTGCATGTGTTCCTGCATGTATGCATGTATGTGTACATGCGTATCCATGATTGAGCATGGAAAAGCAAGAGGACAGCCTCAGCTGTCATTCCTCAGGATTTTTTTTTTTTTTTTGAGACAAGGTCTTTTACTTGACTGAAGCTCTCCAGCTAGGCTAGGTTAGCTGGCCAGAGAGCCCTAGGATCCATTTATTTTATTTTATTTTTTATTTTTGCAAGGCAAGGGCTTTACTAACTGAGCTGTCTATCTTTCAAGTCCTTACCTATACAACTCTATACAATAGAGTATTCCCGGTCCATGACAAGGGATGAGGTGTCGGCCAATGGGAACAGAAAGAACAAAGGACCAGAGTGTGTAGTCTGCAGGGAGAGGAATGATTGGCTTGCCACTTGACCAACCCTCTCTATTGAATAAGCAAGCAGCAGAAAGCAGTGTGTTCAAGAGTTTGTAGAAGAGCAGATAGTAGTAGCAGCTGGATAATAGTTAGACCACTCCTGTGTGTCATGTCCAAATGAAAATTCCGCCAACTCCAAAAGGCAGGCCAAATATCCAGAGATGAGCTCACACTGGACTCCAGGGGGATTTGTGGGTTAGCTAAAAGCCAACATTCCTCAGGAACTTGGGAAGCCAGTTCCCATCTGCCAAAAGGAGTCATTTTCCTTACCTCTGGCAGAAGAGTATGGCTCCATTGACATATACCTGTACTGGCATATCAAAGAACAAGAGGGCTCCAGGCTCCCTCGGTATCACAAGTACTTGTTCTACATTTCAAAGTCCATGCTAGCATCCTAGCCCTTCTCACCTCTCCAGGCTCCCCTCCTTCCTTGTTCTCTTTACCAGGTTCCCCCACTGCTGCTGCATACTCAGCATTCTCCCTCTACTTCCATCTCTGGTCATCCTCCCTTCTCTCACAGATCGCCCTGGTGATGGCCAGTCTGCTGGCCATGTTCAGTTTCCTTCTTTCTCTCTGCTCTGGACTTCTCCAGATGCCCCTAGCTGTTCTCTCCCTCATACCTACGATAGAAACCTTCGCCATGTCATATCAGCCATTGCTTTACTTCATCCCCTTGCATACGCTGGGCACACCCAAAGAACTCTGTGCCCTGCCACAGAAAGGCTTGCGCATCCGCATTCATTATTCCTCTATTTATAATAGCTTAGAAATGGAATCAGCCTATGTGAGAAATGCTTGTGGCGTGTTGTTTGTTTGCTGTTTTTCTATCAGCCAGACAAGGTCTCGTGTTTCCTGAGCTTCCCCCTTCTCCTTTGCGCAAGTTCGCCAACGGAGTCAGACTGTGAAGTTGAATTCCCACCGATGGGATGATCTGCAGTTGATCATCTAGGTTAGGGATAAAAGGTAGACACCATTTTGGTGAGTGTCTTCACGAGCCTGGTTTGGGTTAGCCTGGTACATCCGCGTTCCTGGCCAAGTGTACGTCGGGAGGTGGTTGTGTGTGAATGTATGTATGCATGTGCGGTGACATGTGAGTGTATGTGTGTACATATACCTGTGGAGGCCAGAGAACAATCTCTGCTACTCTTCCTCAGGTGCTGGCCACTGTGTTTTTAGAGCTAAGATCTCTCATAGACTGGTATTGACCTACTCAATGGGGCTGGCTGAAAACTGAGCCTCAGAGCTAGGATTACAAGCAAATACCGAGCATGCCTGGCCCTCCCTTCCTTCCTTCCTTCCTTCCTTCCTTCCTTCCTTCCTTCCTTCCTTCCTTCCTTCCTTCTTTCTTTTCTCTTTTCTTTTCTTTTCTTTTTTAGTGTAAGCTCTTAGGTACCAAACTCAGGTACTCATGTTTACAAGGCATGAACTTTACTGACTGAGCTCTTTCCCCATCACAAAAGCCCCTCTTTTTAAGACCCTGAATTTAAGTGAGGATTTTCCATGCACAAGTGGCCCCTTTGCAGAGGCCCAACTGTGAGCCGCACTTGCTTTCTTCCAATAGTAGAAGCTTTCCTAGACCTCATCTGTCACCCCTTGTCTCTGGGTTTGCCTTCTGGGGTTCCTGTGACTCTCTTCTTTCCTTGAAACTGATTCGACTCAGCCTTGGGAAAGGTCCACAGCAAGTGCTGTTCTTACCAGCCGGAACACCGACATCCCAGGTCAGCAGCTCCCCGGAGCCTGTAAGAGAAAATGCAGAATGTCAGCCTCATGGCCTGTCAGCGTGGAGCCCCTGACGAACGGGGGCTCTGAGAGTTGCCAGCCTGTCCCCAACTGTCTTGACTGGAGCTAGGCTCCAGAAACAGCTCTGAATAGCTGGAGGGCTGAGCCACATTCCCAGCCTGTGGGCGAAGAGTCAATTCTTGTCCTCCTCATTCTACTTCCCCTTTAGAGAACACCCGGCCCTTGGCTTTGGGCTCCGTTCAGGGAGTAGGGCAGTGCTCTGTCATCCTGAAGCCCAAGTTCCACCTCCAAAGAATGGGATCACAGATGGACAGCCACACACTAACGGTATTTACATGGGTGTTTGCATCCAGATTCCAGGTGTCATATCTGTAGACTTTACCCAATTAGCCATTTCTTTAGTACCCACTTTGTTTTTTAAGACAAGGTCTCTCACTGGGACTTGGGACTCACGAAGTAGTCTCACTGTCTAGGCAGTGAGCCCTAAGGATCCCCCTTTTCTCCAGTTTTGGATTACAAGCATGTGCCACCAGCATGTGCCACCATGACCATGTAATCCAGAATTTTAACTTGTCCTATATGCATGGAAAGCAGTCATCACCACATATTCTAAGAGGGACTTGGCTACACACAGGCTGTTTACTTGTTGTGGTTTGAATGAATAAGAATGGCCCCATAGGCTCATATATTTGAATGAGTTCTACTTCACCAGGAAGTAGAACTCTTGGATAGGATTAGAAGGATTAAGAGGTGCGGCTTTATTGGAGTAGGTGTGGTATTGTTGTAGGAAGTAAAGTCACTGGATGTGGGCTTTGAGGTTTCAAAAGCCAACGCTAGGCCCAGCTCTGTCTCTCTCTGCTTACAGATTAGGCTGTAGCTTTAAACTACTTCTGGAGCACCATGCCTGTCTACTGTCATGCTTCCTGCCATGATGATAGTGGACTAAGCCTCTGAAAATGTAAGCTATTCTTCCTCCCCTCCCCCCAGTTAAATGCCTTCTCTTGTAAGAGTCTCTATGGTCATGGGGTCTCCCCACAGCAATAGAAAACTGACTAATACTTGATATAAAGCTTTTAATCAATATCTCATTATATAGCTCAGAATGGTCTTGAGCCAGCAGTTTTCCAGCTGGGGTTACAGACCTGGCCGCTTGATTTTTGCTTATATCTCAAAAAAGGAAAAGTCACTTTCATTAGTGAACAGTGTAACTGGGAATTAAGCCCAAATCAACCACATTCCAAACCTGCCCAGCTTCTGGCTGCTCTCAAGTGTGATGGGAACAGTCAGAAGAGAAAACTCATGTGCCCTGTCTTCGCACTCATGGAGATACCCTTTCTGTTATTCTGTTATTCTGTTATTCAGTGCAGCTATCTGAGTTATTTCTGCTCCTGTAAGCAACCCCCATGAAACCCGTTTGTCCACCAGGTTGGGCTTCAGTGCTATCTATCATTGGTTTGGTTTGTTGTGGGCTCTCTGTCTAGAGTGAGTAAATCTTTGTTCACATCTTCCCAGCAATCATTTTGCACAACTGGAGGCCAGAGGACAATCTCAGATGTTGTCCCACAGGCACCACTCATCTTGGGTTTCTTTTGAGACAGAGTCTCTCATTGGGCTGGAACAACTTGGCAAATAGGTTAGACTGGCTGGTAAGGGAGTGCCAGGGATCCGAATATGTCGGCTTTGCCAGCACTTACAAGTGCGTGTCAGATTTTCTTTGTGATTTGGAGTTTGGTGGAGAAAATCTGATTCACATCACAGGCTCTTTGCCAACTGAGCTACCTTGCTTGCCAAAGCTTTTCAACTCATAAGTAAAGAAGGAGAATCTTTTCCCTAATTCCGAAACCTGCCTCTTGTTCCTCCAGCCTCTCCTCTGGGGGTGAGGGGAGGCGACTATAAATGTGTGTCAAAATGCTGAGAAGACATTTCACAAGTCTTAGTTCTCTGAGGCGAGTCTGGTTCTTTCCATCTCACAGAACCCGGAGAGGTGTTGGAAGGAAATAAGACAGAGGAGCATGGCCCTGCCTTGGTCAGTCCTTTTCAACAAAACAAAAACTATCTTTCACAGCTCCTTCCTGCTATTTATTCTGTACATTTTGGCCTGTTGAAATTTTTTTTTAAAGCCGTAGGGACTAGTGAGTTAAAGGGTAAAGATCCTTGCCACAAAGTCTGATGACCAGAGTTCAGTCCGTGGAGACTCACATTGTAGAATGAGGGAACTGACTCCTAAAAGTTATTCTCAGACCATCATACGTGGCACCATATGTCCCCTGTGAGATACAATAGACAAACATCAAACAAATAAATAAAAGAGAGCAGGACTTGAGAGATGACACAGAGATTAAGAGCACTGACTGTTCCTCCAGAGGACCTGAGTTCAATTCCCAGCACCCACATGGCAGCTTACAACTGTCTATGACACCAGTTCCAAGGGATCTAATGCCCTCTTCTGCCCTCCTCCGGCATCAGACATACAGGCGCATAAATTCAGGCAGAACAGCCAAACATATAATATTAGATAGAGAAAGAGAGAGAGAGAGAGATCACCCTCAGATTCTGGCTTCACTACTCTGCTTTTCACTCTTCCTCTGCATGCGGAGCTAACTCCCAAAGTGAAGGGGCTTCAGTGGGCCACATTAATCTTTCTGTCCTCCTACATCAGAACTCCAGCTTTATTAGCTACTGTGGTAGTTTAGAATAGTTGACCAATTCTGTGTCACACTGCTCTGGTTTCAGTATGATTTCAATGGCCCTTATAGGTACCAATGGAAATGCTTGGTCCTCAGACTGGTGGAACCAAGAGGTTCTATGGACCTTTAAGAGATGGGGCAGTGCCCTTAGCTCATGGGGGACAGCACGCTCTTGAGTGGGGGTATGTGACCCCATCTTACCCATCTAGTCTCTCCTTGCTTCCTAAGTTGAAATATGACAACTTGCACTGATGCTTACCCCCGCCATGATTTGATGCCTTCACCAGAAGTCCAAACGGATGTAGCCTCCCAATCTTGAACTTGAATCTCCAGAACCATGAGCCAAAATTATCTTTGTATGTATTTCATACATGTTATGAAATACTATGTTGAGTATTTCACTATAGCCATGGAAAGCTGAGTAATAAAAACACAGCCCCTTTTATAAAATCCTTTCATGGAATGGAGACTGGGCCTCTCCACTTGGAGGGTAGATCTAACTATTTGTTTCTAACAAAGAGAATGACTGGGAGTGAGGAGTCCCACTGCTGAGACTCATTCACAAAGACCCTGTAACAAGGATTCAGAACACTGTCTGCCTGAGAGAGTCTCTAGGAAATCCTGAGACTCAAGAAGGGCTGGTGTTGGTGGAGGCTAAGATTGGACAGCCCCTTTCACTGAAGTTTCCTACCATGTAGTGGGAATTAGTTCAAGTTAGCTTGAGGTGGTTCATCCCCAGTCCTTGCTGGCCCCTGGACCAGTAAGCAGCTGTGATGCTGACTCCCATAGGCTTTTACTTCAAAATTGTGCCTAAAGGAATGAGGCAAAAGGAAGGGTATAGGTCATTTTATACTGCCTTACAAAGTGCCTGATTCAGGATAGGGACGTTAGGGTCTCCTAGACTTGTCAAAGAGGATTGGCTTTAACCCTGCAAGTGGGATTTCTTCTGAACGTCTCTGCCTCTCTGCCCAGAGCAATGCTGCTACCACATAGCTATTAGGCCACATTTCACTGCTCAGTTAGTTCACTTTTCCAGTAGGACTTCTACCAGACTCAGTGGTAGGAGGGTAAAAACACTGGAGGTTAAGGATGTAACTGGGTAGGGCAAGTTCAGCAATGAGACTGGCTTGTGACCAGACCTCATCCCATTGCTTAAGCAGAGCCAACAAAGTCCTCAAGTGTCTTGTCCTGTGCTTGATGTGGGCTAAAGAATTCTATCTGACCTGTGTTCTCTTTCAGTTGCACATTCTCTTGTGAAACCTCCTCTAGGGCCTAGGGCTACTGCCCGGCTGCTAAGAGTGCTAGGTCCAAAAGCAACATTTCCAGTGGCCATGCCCATTACGAGACCCCAAGGAAGCCTCATTTCCCTGAACTTCTCCCTATATGCCATGAGTGCACCAAAGTCTGTGTGACCAACTTCATCTCCTTTAGTCCCTAGATTATTCCATTCATGCATTCTTTATCTCAGCAAATGGTGTCCACACCTGCTGAAGGAAACACATGAATCTAGTCTTCCCTCACATCCAAACAGTTGATACGCTTTTTCTTTTGAAACTTAGTGGCTGCCAGCCATATGTTGTTCACAAAAAGCCTACATTAACTATAAAGACACAAGTTTTATTAAGGAGATGAAGTAAGAGTTACTTCACTCACACTCACCAAAGGAAAGCTGAATAGCCATACAATTTCATAGAGAATGTATTTCAAGTAAAAAAAAAAAAAAAGTGATGAGAAATGAAAAGAAATGTGACATGATGGTGAGGTATTAAATTCTCCAAGAAAACACAGTGCTTAGCATGTATACACCTAACAATGAAGTGCCAAAAAAAAAAAAGACAAAACTCTAAGAAGTAGACAAATTGAGCATTACAGTGAGAGACTTCAATGTGACTCTATCAGAAATGAACAGCATCAGCATGCAGAAAGTTAGTAAGGACAATAGACAAACCACCATCAGTCAAATACAACCCTACAAGTGTACGAACTGTTATCTTTATACACTACTTTGTCCAACAACGGCTAAGTATACATTCTTTTCAATCTCATGCGGAATATTTGCTAAGAGAGGTCACATTCCCTTCTGGGCCATAATGCACACCTTATCAAATTTAAAGAAGAAAGCCATGTAAAGTTTCTCCTCAGACTACGATGCAACTCAGCTAGAAATCAATAACAAAAAGATAAATGAAAAATTCTAACTTATTTGGAGATTAATAAATATACCTCTAGACACATGAGCCAAAAGGCCCCAAGGAAAAGTGAAATAATATCAGCTAAATACAACTGACCAAAATTTGTGAAGTTTAGAGA